CGCCGTATCTGGTCGGCGAGTCCCTCGCTGAGCCTCGTGCACGTTGCCCGCCGGCGGCATGTAAACACCGACCAGGATGAATGAAGCGAACTCACGGGGGGGATAAAAGGGTTTGCAGGGGATGAAAAAAGTTTCCAGATCAGGAGAACAGTGTTGTAGGATCACTGTTAAGTCGTTGCACCAGCTATTGTTGAAGTAGAAGCAGATTCCTCCACCCTTTGTCTTGCCGGAGAGCTCCGTGTCGCGGTCCGCTCGGAGCAGCTGGAAGCCCGCTAGCTGGAGCGCGGAGTCCGGTATCGATCCGCAGAGCCACGTCTCCGTGAAGCACAAGACGGAGGATGTAGAGAAGTCTCTGTCTCTCCTCATCAGCAGCTGAATTTCGTCCAGTTTGTTGCCCAGTGAGCGCACGTTGGAGAGAAAGATGCCTGGGAGCGGAGTGCGAGAACCACGCCTGAGGAGTCTCACCAGCGAGCCGGCCCGTTTTCCTCTCCTACGGCGTCTCACCGCGTGACGAAAGGAGAGCGCACCTTTGACTATAATGTCCAGTAATTCCACGGAAGAAAGCAGGAAGTTGGAAGTAACTCCGCAGGAGTTGTTCCACGGATGTTCAAGAGCTCATCTCTGGTGAAAGAGCTCCGGGAATCGCAGCAGCAAACGTAATTAACAACAAAAACAACAAAAAACTAATCTACAAGATTACAAACTGCCTGCACAAACCATGCGTCGTTATGAATGTTAAGACTCCAAAGACTCCAACAGTATGAATCTCATCGGTCGAAAGGTCAAGGGACGGAGAAGCGACCGAATAAACGTAGCTGCTATATTAGCATACACTCAATTACACGTTGTAGTTGAGATACACTTCCCTTAACGTTTGAGAGGCAAGCTAATTGCTAACTTAGAGCTTAAAGTTCCTAACCAACCTTTTCACATGTAAACATAGACTGACAGACATTCAGCAGTAGAGGAGCAGGGGACAAATTGGCTGGGTTGGATCGGTGGCTCAGTCCTGGCACATAGGCCTCCCCTTTTATTTGTGTCAGCTTCAGGGCATCATCAAGCCATTTGGCTGCAGATTAAGGGCCAGATTGGTATGAGAGAAGCCCAAAATTGAATTCTAAAGGAAGTGAAGCTCAAATAGAAAAAACATGTATGTTACGAATAGCCTTGGTAACATATCATACTCCCAAAGTAATTGCAAGAGTCTAAACTGGCACAGCAAGGCTACATCAAAATTGTAGGTTAAGAAGAGTACTTTACCTTGGTTATATCCATTTTACCTTTCACATTTTTCATTTCACCCATATAGGAGACATGGTAACATGACGTGTACCAAGACTGGAAGGGCCTTCAGTGAACTTGTTTGATAGGAATGCTTTCTGCTTGCATACATTCCTGATTCTCATCAGACACAATATAGTCTGACTGATTCATACCACTGTACTCACACGCATACAATCTACATGCAGATATAAGTATGAAAAGGTAACATGAACTAGTAGCAATAAAATCCATATGTGAGTGTAAGCATGCTGGGAAATGCAAAGGGCAGGTTTAGAAACCCACTATGGGAAGCAGTCAGCAGAGGGGAGGTTGGCTGGGGGTGGGGGGGAACCGCTTGGCAGCTTTACTGACAGGAAGCGGGTCGGCTCTGTTCCTGCATTCCTCCAGCAGATGTTTGACCGAGAAAATATTTTCACAGCTGGAAAGGGGAGCGAGGGAACATATATGTTTTACAATACATCACACTGGAGGTGGCGAAAAACGGAGTGGAATTAAAAAAACATTCATGATATTTTAGTGTACGTGATCGGGTACTGCCTCAAAGCTAGTCCTTGAAAATTCAAATTGATGCTCAGTCACTGTCTCCCCCTCAAAACTTCCAATAACAACCTGGGTTTGTGTGCCTGTGTTGTTTATGAAAAATGTCTGCATTAATCGTATGTTCTGAGAGGAATGTGGGCTCGCCCGTCCTGTGATTAATGTAAGAAAACAGCCTCTTTTTTCTATCAGTAACACACTGCCGTAACGGGAAGTGAGTGTTGTTGATGATGACGGTATTAATGGCGATGGACCACTAAAGCGCAGTTTTCGGAATGATGTGTGTGCATCACTACGCTATAAAACTCAAAGCAAATTCAAAGCTCAAGTCCAAAAGAAAGAAACTTTCTTTGTACTGTGTTGCAGCACTGTGCTGGAAGTGTTGACAAGAAGCGGAGCACTTTCACATCTCTGTTTTCTGGCCAAGTTGGATGTTAGAAAGTGAGAAGTGATCCCTTTTGACTGGCAGGAGAGAGACTTTCTAGCAGAGTTAACTCTATGAGCTGCTGTCACCCAGCAGAGACACTCGGCAGCCTCCTAAACTCTGAAATCACCAGAGAGCAATTACTTTCTCTTTCCAGGGCTCGTCCTGAGCTATTTGGACACAACCGAAACTGTTGATGACAGTTTATCACTCGTCCGCAGTCCTCAATAGTTGTCAGTTTGTTGGCAGACAGTTCACTGCCTGACAGTTCAGCAGCTGTCTATTCTACTCTACAAACTATTGCATGTATCATTTGTATGGCTTTGAAATATTTCTTGACACAAAGGCGATGCAGTGTTTTCTTTTCCAAGAAGTCTACTGTGGGTCCTATGATTGGGACCCAAAATAATAATTTTTATTCGGACTAAACAAGACAAAAAATGTTCTCAAATTTTAGCATGACCAAAACTAACACAGAAGTTTGATTTTAGGACTAAATACCTGACACAATTGGGCTTGGCAGGTCTGCAACAGCTGCATAATACTACAACCAGATATTGCCTGACCATCAGAGTTACAAGACAATATCAATGCATTATTTAAAGAAATTGCTGTTTCTGCAGAGGGGAGTCACAGTGACATTAGCCTTTACCTTCATGTGAACTCTCCTCAAAGTGTTGTGACAGCTGTGAGGACTATGTTTGAAGATCCTCTCATTGGAAGGAAAACATGGCCGCGGAGGAGATCACTATCCCTCTTCTTATTTTTGCTGCTGTGGCCTCGATGGTTGTGGGGTCAATCCAGGGCTGGCAGGTACCTGTCAGTCACAGACCACCTGAGGAGACCTCTGCATCTGAAAGTGGAAGGTCAAACGTGGAAATAGGAGCTTGTTGAGATAAACACCGCGTATACAGCACATTAACAATGAGCAGGAAGTCTTTGTGGGTGCTGTGGCACCAACTTGGCTCTGAAAAGTGAAGCAATGCATAACAGCCTTACTCATTACTTAAATCATAACCTCAATAAACATTCTAAATAGGAGTTTATGGTCTTGCTAGTGGCAAAGGTTCAAGTCTTGTTCAATACCGACCATTTACATTCAACTAGAACATATAATAGGGTATGCTTTAGAATGGCTCTAACTTGTGATTAACAGCTGGCCATCATGTTGTTGTCTGGTCTGGGAGTTGTTTGTCTTTTCGTCTTAGAATTTAGACCTTTCACAGTGTGTTTTGTTTAATATTTAAGTTCATTTTAACGTCTTACAGGGTAACACACCTCAAGTCGCCAACAACAGTGGGCTGGAGTGAGTTTCACCCACCTTCAATTGTGAAAAACAGATTTCTTCCTGCAGTGACATGAGATTTGACGGTTCACGATGCCTCATTACTGAAAAGGCGCATCCTGTCGTCCTTATCACTCGTTACTCATCGGATTCCTTTAAGCTTGATGACTATACTTCTTAACGTTTTTAGAGGGCTCTCTTTCTACTGTCTGGTGAAAGCACCGTCGCTTACACAGGTGCATGGCCGACGGCACCATTAATCCTTAACACCACAATGAATTTGAATCAAAGCCTGTGTCCATTTGGGGTTTGTTTCAAAACAGGTGAGCATTCATCTTCCTGCTGCACCCGGCTGGCCAGATTGTTTGGCTGGACTCTGGCTCGGCTCCAGCTCAGGCTGGCCATGTCAGCTCCTGGGCTCTGACCCTCAGACAACAGTGCCAGCAGTGTGGCTGGTTGATGATAGACAAGCAGGCTAATGCTCAACACAGCAAATCTTGGCCATTATCAGCTGCTATCCCAGCTGATTAACCTCCTCGTCCACTTTTATAAACATATTCTGGGCATTATAAATAAGTCAACATGCCTTTACCTTGCTATGATATGTTTTTTTGGTCCATATAATTCATAAGTTAAATTGATAAATACTGGCTGAATTCTCATGGAAATTCATAAAAATGCTCTCCAGAGGATGCCCGCTAATTTTCACAAGTCATGTCCCAAGTCCAGACCTAGGGAGGCGTCTTAAGTCGTCCCAATTCAAATTAAACCTGGGGCCCTCTGTGGTAATGCCTGCACATTTTAGCTCTTTAAGATTGTTGAGTCAGAGTTCCTTCGGGCAATCTTATCAGGAAACACCGCATAAACTTCCATTGTTATGCAAACGATACTCAACTGTATCGGTCGATCAAGCCAGAGGAGGCGGACCAGCTAGTTAAGACTTCAAGAATGTCTTGGAGACATCAAAACTTGGATTACCGGCAACTTCCTGATGCTAAAACTAAAAATCCTGATAGGCCCAGAGCGCCTTCGAAGCCAGCTGTCACGTGATAGCTTTTATGGATGGAATTGCTCTGGTACCCAGCAGCACCGCCAGGAATCTGGGAGTTCTCTTCGACCAGGATATGACCTTCAACTTGTATATAAAGAAGACTTCAAGGACTGCCTATTTTCATCTACGTAACATATCAAAAATCAGGAACTTCCTGTCTCAAAGTGACGCAGAAAAATTAGTTCATGCGTCTGTCACTTCCAGACTGGACTACTGTAATTCTTTGTTATCAGGCTGTTCTTGTAAATCTCTTAAGCCTCTCCAGTTGATTCAGAATGCTGCAGCACGTGTATTAACAAGAACTAAGAAAAGGGATCATATCACTCCTGTATTAACTTCTCTGCACTGGCTCCCTGTTGAATCAACAATAGGTTTTAAGGTACTTCTCCTCACCTACAAGGCACTTGCTGGTGAGGTACAGTCGTATCTTAAAGAGCTTATAACACCTTATTGCCCTACAAGGCAGCTGCGCTCCACAGATGCTAGGTTACTTGTTGTTCCTATGGTTTTAAAAAGTAGGCTGGGGGCCAGAGCCTTCAGTTATCAAGCTCCTCTTTTGTGGAACCAGGTTCCACTTTCAGTCCGGGGGTCAGATTCGGTCATCTCTTTTAAAGTAAAACTTTGATTCTGCCTATAGTTAGGGCTGGCTCAGGTTAGCCCGGACCAGCCCTTAGTTAAGCTGCTATAGGCTTAGACTGCCGGGGGACTTCTTAGGACTCACCGAGCTCCTCTCTCACGCTCTCGTTCTACCGTAATTCACGTTTTATTAATTCACATGACTAATTCTGTCAAGGGATGCGTGGAGGAGGCAGGACTCAAATGCAGACTTCTCAAAGCAATAGACTTTAATAGTCAAAAGCAAAAGGCCAAGCGGCAAAAATACACAGGAACCAGGGGAAAAACAGCAGGCAGGAAACTACAAACATCCACGACGATAGACAAGGACATGCGTGGCAAAAGACAATGACGCGACAAGTGACGACAGACACACGTGGCTTAAATACACTAGGGAGGTGCAGGTGATTGGACACAGGTGGAAACTATTAGACAATCACAGGGGATGACAAGACAAGGCAGGAAATGAAGTTACCCGGCGACACGAGTGGCAGAAAACTACAAAATATAACAGGAAGTGAACCACACCGTGACAGTACCCCCCCCCCTCAAGGGCCGAATTCCAGACGGCTCACACTAGAGAGCGGACAAGGGGTGGGAGGGAGGGAAACCAGAGACATTGGTCGGGCCGCCCGGGAAACTCTGGCGGGCGGCCCGGCGGGCGGCCTGACGAGCGGGGAGCCTCCGGGGGTCGGCCCGGGCGGACGGTCATTAGGCCGGCTCCGGAGCGGCAACTGCAGGACACTGAAAACCTCCGCAGTGGTCGGCGGCGGCAGCTCGGGGACACGGAAAACCTCCGCAGTGGTCGGCGGCGGAAGCTCGGGGACACGAAAAATTTCCGCAGTGGTCGTCGGCGGCGGCTCGGTGACACGGAAAACCTCCGCAGTGGTCGTCGGCGGCAGCTCGGGGACACGGAAAACCTCCGCAGTAGTCGCCGGCAGCTCGGGGACACGAAAAATCTCCGCAGTAGTCGGCGGCGGCTCGGGGACACGAAACACCTCCGCAGTAGTCGGCGGCGGCTCGGGGACATGAAACACTTCCGGAGTAGTCGGCGGCGGCTCTGGGACACGGAAAACCTCGAAACACGGGGGACGTGGGAAACCTCCGCGGTCGTCGGTGGCTCGGGGACACGGAAAACCTCCGCAGTGGTCGTCGGCGGCAGCTCGGGGACACTGAAAACCTCCCAGTGGTCGGCGGCGGCTCGGGGACACGAAACACCTCCGCAGTAGTCGGCGGCGGCTCGGGGACACAAAACACTTCCGGAGTAGGCGGCGGCGGCTCGGGGACACGGAAAACTTCCGGAGTGGTCGTCGTCGGCAGCTCGGGGACACTGAAAACCTCCGCAGTCGTCGTCGGCGGCGGGGGAACACTGAACACCTCCGTAGTCTCTGGCTCAGCCCCCCCCTCAAGGGCCGGATCCCAGACGGCCCCCAAGCCACCAAGGGAGGGTGGGAGAGGACCACGGGATGGGAGGGAGGGAGCCCGAGTCCGGGAGCGAGTCTCGGGGCCGCTACAGGCCGAGTCGGGGCCATGAGTCGTGGGGCCGGCACCGGGGTCAGGGGCTTGAAACGTGGGGCCGGTACTGGTCTGGTTGGGGGCATGGTACGTGGGGCCGGTACAGGCCGGGTCGGGGGCATGGAACGTGGGGCCGGAACAGGCCGGGTCGGGGGCATGGAACGTGGCGCTGGCTCGGGGGTATGGATCATGGCGGGCAGTACCAGTGATCGAGGCAATGGATTGTGGCGCTGGCTTCTAGGTCAGGCGTATGGAACGTGGGGCCGGTACAGGCCGGGTCGGGGGCATGGAACGTGGCGCTGGCTCGGGGGTATGGATCGTGGGGGCAGTACCGGGGTCGGGGGCATGGATTGTGGCGCTGGCTCGGGGGTCGGGGGTATGGATCGTGGCACTGGCTCGGGGGTTGTGGAACTGGATCGGGGCGTCGGCTCAGGGGTCATGGGCTTGGGTTGGGGGGCGGGGTCGGGATGTCGCTGCGGCCCAGCGCTGGACATACTGCGCTGCGACCGAGCGGGGTTGGGGATTTGCTGCGGCCCAGCGCTGGAAATTGTGCGCTGCGGCCAAGCGTGGAGAGCGTAGGTGGCCTGGAACGTGGGGCCGGTACTGCTCGGGTTGGGGGCATGGAACGTGGGGCCGGTACTGGTCTGGTCGGGGGCATGGAACGTTGGGCCGGTACTGGTCTGGTCGGGGGCATGGATCGTGGGGCCGGTACTGGTCTGGTCGGGGGCATGGATCGTGGGGCCGGTACTGGGGTCGGGGGCATGGATCGTGGGGGCGGTACTGAGGTCGGGGGCATGGATCGTGGCGCTGGCTCGGGGGTCGGGGTTGTGGATCATGGCGCTGGCTCGGGGGTTGTGGAACTGGATCGGGGCGTCGGCTCAGGGGTCATGGGCTTGGGTCGGGGGGCGGGGTCGGGGCTTTGCTGCGGCCCAGCGCTGGAAATTGTGCGCTGCGGCCGAGCGTGGAGAGCGTAGGTGGCCTGGAGTCGGGCCGCAAGGTCCATCACCTGCTCCCAGTGGGTCTCTCCGCCGGACGACCACGAAATGGCCTCCTCCTCTGGAGACCTCGCCATCCGCCGCCCAACACGCGAGCGGCGACCCAGATGCCTGCTGAGGGCTGCGGACGGGGAGACCGAGTAGTACATGTATACATCTGGAACCCCCGGGAGGACCGTTCCACCATTACGGACGGCCCGCTGGAGACTGACGTTCTCCCTAAGGTTTCTTCGCTTTTTTTCCCTCTTGGAAGGCTTTTTTTGGGGAGTTTTTCCTGTGCCGATGGGTTTCGGGACAGAGGATGTTGTATGTGCACAGACTGTAAAGCCATCTGAGGCAAAAAAATTTATTTGCGATTTTTGGCTATACAAAATAAAATGAATTGAATTGAA